TTTATTATTAAACTCTTAAAACGAAAAATAGTCTATATTTTCTGATTTTTATTTGTATAATGCCAAAGGAAAAAGGGCTTATGACAATAGACAAATATTGCACAATTTTCGAATTCATGTTTTAAAGAAATCAAAATGAAAGAAAACATTTTCAAGTGCAAAGCTGAAGCTTTAAATATTAATTCTGTATAGACATAATATTTTTTTTTTATCAAGAATGACATAATTTTCTATTCGGAAAACTAGTTATTTATTCATAGAAATCTGAATTAAAGCCATATCAGTTTAAAATGTAAGCCTATGTCGCGCCAACGCCTTTTCAAGGAATATGAAAAATATTTTCTGATAACAGAAACTGCATATTTAAACTTAGGTTCACTTTAAAATAAACAAGGCAAATCACCTTATACTTGAATGTCCGTCTGAAAGATGTATCGAATATTTATTCGGTAAATGAAAGTCCTTTACCTTGCAGAAATATGCTCATAATATACAAACAATGAATCAGTTTTGAAAGACGTTAAGAAAATAATAAAGTATTTACTTAAAGGTAGATACCAGAATATTTTAAGACACTTGTACACATTTGGGAAATGTACTAACACTTCTACTATAAAGTTGAAATCAACAATATGTTGTCATTCAGGTAGCTATTAATACTACATAAAAGTGAATTTATCTTGAATAATTCCTGTAGCATTCTGATATCTTGATTAGATTTATGTATGAAATTTTTCTTTACAGTTTATGTTCCAAAACATTTAACAAATTTTTTTAAATATGCAAGACTGTAAATACAACATACAGCAGTTGTAGTTACTTATGCAAAAAATTCCTTTTCGTAAAACATAAAATATTTTTTAAATGATGCTAAAATAATAGGAATTGATTTTAATGATTTTTAAATAAAGCCTCCTTTAAAAGTTAGAACATTCAGTAATATGTCTTTGTGTATACAATTCTTGCTAATGTAAGAATAAAAATAACTTAATTTGTGTTTATGCTTCAAAAAAAAAAAAAAAAGGCACCTGTATTTATGTTTATAAAATAATTTAACTGCAAATCATTCTAAAAATAAAAAGCAAAATGGTTTGATCCAATAATACAAAAATTGACTACGGTATTTATTTTTTAAATTTGAGATTATGTTCAGAAGATATCAGAACTAAAACAGCAAACATTTATATTTGTACGCAATTAAAAATTATATATCAGTTTAGGGAAAGGCTTCTGATTTTAACAGATTAAGAAATGATCTTTGTTATGTGTCGTTAAAAGTATTGATCAATACTGTAATTGCTTTCGAAAAGGAGATGTTATTCACAGAATCTTACATAATTCGTGCTATAGAAAATTTTGTAATCTTCCATATCAGCCTGGAAATTCCAGTCGACTTGAGACTCTGTTTGTGTTAAATAAAATGAAAAATATTTGTAGTTTAAGGTATTTTTTTGTATGATTCTAAAGTAAGGAACATGCTTGCGATTTTAAATAAGATATTTTTATAAGATATTTTTAGCATTTGAAATCGTATGAATTATGAATATAAAATTTATTTCAGTATACTATATGTAACAAAATTATAGAAAAAATGTTAGACATCTGCAAATCGCAAAAGAATGTCATTGGATACTACCAAAAGAAAAAAAAAATCAACCTCAAATTATTCTAATTTATTTTTAGCCGACTCCTCAAAAAAGTTGAAAAAGATATCAAACATCCCAAAGTTTGAAATTAAATATCTCACTCAGTTCCTACCATATAGGGGGAAATATTTTGTGTCTTAACTTTTACCATGACTATAAACTTTACTAAATGTAGTTATAGGGAGTAAGATTCTGTATGAAAAGTTAATATTTCGTGAATTTCATAAAACAGGCATTTACATTTAAAGGTATTAAAGTGTGTCATTTAATATATTTTTGCAGCGAAAGTAGATATTTCCCGCCAACGATTGCAAATATTATAAATGGCGGGTAAGGAGTAACATAGAATTTTTCTATTTAAATATATACTATGTTATGCAATCATTAACAACTGTGAAGAAGAAATTAAAAATGAAAGACCATTAATAAGGAGATAATTGCAATCATAGCTAATTTGACATATTTTTTATTATTGACAAATATTGTTGACACAGCGAAATTGATGCAAAAATGCGCTTACTTTTGAATAACTAGTTACACTGGCACTTTTTACGTTTTGTATATACAAAACGTAAAAAGTGCCAGTGTATAGTAAAAAGTGCCAGTGCATTTGAAGAAAGAAAAGGCAGCAATGGACATTAAGCATTAAAGCCAGAGAGGTTGAAAGGAAATGAGAAGATACCACTTTTAAAGCCTCACTTAGAATTTCAGTATATTTTTAAACTTACCTTTAGTGGTTGATTCAGTTTTCAGTTTGCAAATTTTAGTATTACTTTCGGTTAATGCGTTATGTAAGTATCAGCGTCATTTGATTTACAAGAATTGTGTAACAAGGGTTCATTCTGAAATGGTCTAATTTATAACAATTTATTATAACTGCGTATGATACTCTATTTAGGACGGAAAGGGGGAACGACCAAATTAAAAGGAGACATAAAAGGCTGCTACAAATTAAGATTAGAATTTTGTTTCACGTATTTTTCATCTTAAACACATACATATCTATGTATATCCGTGAGCGTGTGCGTGCGTTATTACATATACAGTAAAAATTATTATATATATATATATATGTAAAATGTAAAATATTAAATATGTAAAATATAAAATTTAGCTTTCAAATTATAAATTAATAGCCTTTTAACATCCGTTTCATTCTAAAAATAACAGCATTAAATTTTTCTCCCTGCAGTTCTGATGAGCACTTACCTATGAAATCTCAACTATACATTAAAGTGTCACGTGATCTGAAATGAAGATCGGTATAAAAAGTGTAATTACATCACAACTCGCTCTTTTTCTTTTCGCTCGTCTCTTGTGCTGCTTTCTTTTGTTCCGCTAGCTATGAAAAGTTTACTTTTCTAAATTCATCCATTGTTTAAAATGTGAGGTGCAGAAAATTGTGGGGGTGCATAGAGCACCCACAGTGATAATGTGTATTATCGAGAAATAAAATGATGTGTAGAATTTACCGTTATGTGTGTTCTTCAAGTGTCATCTTGCTAACTACGCAGCAGTCTTCAAGTTCTGATGCAGTCCTGTTCAACGCCAATCCATTGCAGCTCTCACTAAGTTATCTTATTTCATCTAATAATGCAGTCTTATTTCAATATGTAGCGCAATGTTATTTATCGAATAGACCAGGTTTATTACATATTGTTGCGTTTTTCTTTTCTACATCAGTTGTTACGTTATATTCTTCCTTTACGTTCGTACGGGGTTCGTGTGGATTTGGAGTGAATAACGACAACACTACTTGATGAAGTATCAAAACACGCTTTATTGGTCAGTATTGTCAGGACAGCTCCAAAACACGTTTAGAGTCGTCGATGAACTACTACGATCAGCGACACAGTCTCCAGGTTATCAGGCTATCACGGTGGAGACAGCTTCATTGTAAAGCACCAGAGTACAGCTTCCGACTCTGCTTTCCGGAGTACAGCTCCCGACTCTGCTTGGTCGTTCTCGGAACTCCACATACTCTCGAGACTCTCCACGCTCTCCACGCTCAACGACACACGAGCACAGCTTCCGACTCTTCAGCTCAGTCGTTCCCGGAGCTCAACACGCTCTCTCGACGATGAACTAACCTCGATACTCTAACAGACTCCTTCGGTGCACTCGACGACTCACTTGGCACTCGCTGGCCGGCTGTCAACTCGATCAACTCCGCAGGGATTGACTCGCTAGACGAAACACAAACTGGATACTAACTAACTCGCACTCTAGACGAGGTACACACACACGATACTACTAACTGTGCACCAGCAGGGTTTATATAGCTTTTGGCTAGTGTTCGAAAACATTCTGGGATAAACTGGTAAGAATTCGTTTCAGAAGCTTCTCCATCCGTCCATGTAATATCGCCAATTTTGTCGCCAAATGGGCGATTTCTTGCCAAATATGGCAACCCTAAAACTGCTTTGCGGGGACGCCATCTTACCGCGGATATACATTTCGTAACACTTTATATATGCGTGTGTATGTGTGTGTTATTACATATACAGCAAATATTTACAGATCGTTTCTTAAACACGAGCTAGTTCCTTTAATACCTTACTGGGGAAGCTAAAAGCGACTCACAGTTTTATAGACACTTCTTGCATTTTAAATATTATATGATACAGCTAAGCGAAGAGCTGTCGGTTATTCAGGCGGAAGAAAAATAGAAGGAGAGAGTATATCATAGATCGTAATCTGAAAGAAATCTTTCGCTGTGTGACCTTTCCTTCTATATATCTCTTTTCCCTAAGGCGATTACAAATAGAATCGTAAAATCCGGACACGACGGAAGTACGTGGAGCTTGAAGCAGGAGTCTCAGATGATAAGCCCCAATTTGTACAGTCATCATATTCGTTGATAGCATGGGTAGAAATCTTCATGAATAGGAATATAAGCAATTAAATAACATTTCAAGCATATAAAGCAGCTGGGGAATTTATGGCTTTGAAACTCTTTGAATCCTAAACAACGACTGGGCAAGAGCTTTCGCATTCGTATGATTGCTGATAAGTGACGCAGAACAGAGACTTTGATGAAGATTTTATTTAAATTAAAATCAGGAATTAAATGCATCAAAAGTGAAATTAAAAAAAAAATTACAGCTCATAAATTCATAAAAAATGTAAAGTTAAATAGGCAATGAAAAATTATACCTTTAAAAATTACAGACAATACAATGGAACAATAAAATAATCCTATTGGTGAAGCCTTTCTTCTTAAACTAGCGTAATTTTCCAGAATTTATTCAACTAATTAAATACTAAACATCCTTTTTTAGTCCAGTTTGTCAAGGTTTTATGCAAATTGCAAAATCAAGTTTGACCATTATGATGTTTAGATGACTTTTACAGGAAATGGGAACCTTGCACTTAGATATCATGCATTCACAGCAACAGTTGTGGAACAGCGCCATTTTTATTGTTTGCAAGTTTTCTACAGAGTTTCTAGTAAGTTTCCTTTATTTTTTTTTTACTTTTCCCTTTTAAGTCGTTAAAAATTAATTCGAATGTGTTTCATATTTTTCTACAAAAATTGTTCATATGTAATTGGACTTGGAAATTAGTTACGTATAAATTGTTTAGTATGTTTAAATTCTACGGTTAAAGGCCGTTGTATTTTAAATGTTATTGCACGTGTTAAATTCGATTTTCTTTCCTGTTGCAGTTTAAATTTTTACGGTAATTTTTTATTTAAAAAATATGTATTTATTTATTTATTTGTGCATTTTTATTTTTAAAAATTATGTATATATTTAGCGTCGGCGTAATGGCGAACGTTTTGAGCTTCTGATATAAATAGTGTAAAGCATGTAAATAATATTTCCAATTTCCCTTTTATTTTTAGCTCAAAGGGCTATTAGTGTCCAAAACGACGTTTTGCTTCGTTTCACTTTCTACGGTGTTTCACGTTTCAAACTGTTGCCATCAAATATTATATCCATGTATTACATTTAAAGAAACTAAATAATGACGAACATGGGCACTTGGAAGCCCGAATTTGCAATTTCGAACTCCTTTTATTATCTATTTCAAATTTTGTAAAACTTTAACGAACTTTTTTAATAACAAACTCAACGATTTCAAAGCGAGCGATGGCAAAATTGAATGGGGGGGGAGAGGAAATTATCTCCAGCGCCGAGACTGAATTTCGGAAATTCTGAAGATATGTTGTTTTTTTGTTCTTTTAAATATTTTGTGATATTGCTGTTGAATTGAATTTTATGTGTTTTAAGTGAGAAGATCATGGTATTTAATAAATAAAGGTAACATACAAAACGTTAAAAAAACGGCCTTTTGGGCGCAGTATAAAATCCAAAAGGTTTCAAATTGTCTTTTTTCTTCTTTAATTGCGCAAAAGGTCATGCGCAACGAAACGGGATTCAGGTTTCTTGGATTGTTTAAGGTTTTAATCTTTCAATGTGTTACCCCTTCAGAAGTCGGTCTGGCGCATGAAAATATGGTTAATCTAAAATCTTTTATAAAATTTTAATGTTACTGCTAAGTTCACTTTAAATAAATAAAAAACAACCTTTGAAATATACTATGGGATTGTCTCAACTTTTGCTTTAAGTTTTTAAAACGTAATAGGTTATTTTAATACAATTTTAGAATGCTCCTAGTATGATTTAATGTACTTGTAATAAATTATTAATTTAAGTTTTCGGTATATATATAGATAGATATTGCATTTTGGCATATCAAATATGAATTATTTACAGCTTATTCATTTTCGTTAGCACCATTTGCTATATTGATTGAAAGTTTTGATCCAATTAGTCGAGAATTTTAATCGCTAGTCCTTATTAATATTAATAAAATCATATGTATACTACTTGATGTATGTATTTCGTAATCCGGCTCACATATTTAACCAATAAAGATATATCCAATAATATTTAATGAATAAGGTTCAAAGTGTCTCCCTGTAAAGCAAAAATGAACGATAATGCCGAATACCTTAATTTCAATAAAGAGTTGATGAAGATAGAAAAGGAGTAGTATTGAAATAATTTATTTTTCTTCTGAGATCGCAGCTGCATTTCTTTAACAGTTGAAGGAATTCCACTTAACTGTATCAACAAAAGTAAATTACCGAAAAACAATGTGAAAAAGGCTTCTAGCACAGAATCCTTTGCTTGTTGCAGTAAGAAACACCTGCTCCAATTAAGTATGTAGAAAATAGTACTCGTACTTGCTGTTATCGGGTTCATAAAGTAACATTCAGTATTTTTAGATACATCTAAGGTTATACATCCACATTTACTTCTTTTATTCATAGTAAAATAAAAATAGATTATCATGGTGTAAATTAAATTTATCTTTTGACTTCAGCTTACAAATTTCAAATCATATACCTCCAGAAATAATATTTTATGCATGTTTAAGTGCTGATAAGCAACTTATTCAGCAAATAGTAGTTTCAGCAACAAAAGCGAATATTGTAAATAATTTATTTGCTGAGAAGTTTGGAATAAAAGTATTCTCTGAAATTTGAGTAAATCGAAAGTTTACAGTGCTGTTTCTGCTTTTATGTATAAACTGATAAAACAGAGACAGGAAAAAAAAAGAGACGGAAAAGATTGAATTATAAAATAGAAAAATATTGTGATTAGACATAAGACATGAAATAGAAAAGAATGAAAATGCTGAAATTATAGAGTAGAATAAATTGTATATTTCTTTAGAAGAACAAAATCTGGTTCATTTTCTCACATTTCCAAGCAACAAATATATAGTGTCATGCTTACGATTTCGTAATAGTTTGAATGTACACAGTTCCGATGATAGGTTAATAAAATTTATTTTATCAACAGAAACACTTCAAAGTTCAGGAATTTTCTGCAGAAATACTCGTACATGTCGTTCGCAGTGTCACGGTGTACAATCAGTAGTTACGCTTCAAAACACTAAGAACGTTAAACACGACGCAATGCAAAGTGCATTTAAAGAGAGAGCTAATCCGGAGATACCTCAATTCACGCTGAAATGACAACTCGCAACAACAATAACAACTAAATGAGAACAGATGCTCACTCCGGCAATATATAGTTTTCAACCAGCTGCCGAGGTATTTCTAGTACTTTCTGCTTCTCGAAATTACTAGAAAGCAATATACGGTGGATTTACGGTTACAGTTAATATAGGGGTCAATAAATTTATTCAAATACAATATCTATTACGGTGATACAGGGACCGGACCAAAATGGCGACTTTTGGCGATTTCTTGAATTTTGGCGACTCTCGACTTTGGTCGACTTTTGGCGATTTTGGAGAATGCGGGATTTTATTTTTTCCCCCTTTTTCCGATATTTTTTTAAATTCTTAGATTTTTTTTACACTACATAAAATGTACTTGCCCCTGTATTGTTATTTTTCCGGCATAGCTTATCTCTTTCAGATTTTTCTTATGTTACATTACACAGAAAAACAAAACAATTTCGCATATCATTTCGTTACCATCATATAACTATGTACAAAATTCGAAGCAATTCTTTGTGACAAATGCGAGCAGTTGTAATTTGAATATCTAAGATTTGAATTTTGTTTCCAATTGAATTTTTCATTTTAATATGAGTTCTGTTTACGTTTTGTCTTCTCAGTTAGCCTATACGACACGTATAAGATGTCCTCTTTTATTAGAACTTTCATTCATTAATGTATACTGCGTTTAATGTTTATAATAAAAATTTTAAAAAATGCAAAAGATTCGTGCAAATTTCCCAGTCAATTTAGCTCTAAAGAAACCAATATTAATTCAAATGATTAACAACGGTATTACAATTTTGCATCATAAACATTTCAAAACACTAAAAATGAATGTTCAAAAAGTAGCAGCGATAAAAAATGCGTTTTAAATAATGCACCACAAAATTAAGCGTTTCATAATGGCAGCGTTATATCGAGATAATTTTTAAATTCAAATATTAAAAAGAAGTTTCTTAGAACCGATTTTTATACGATACTGATTTGAATGTTTGAAGTAATCAGAAAGTTTCAGAAGTATTTTGGATTAAATAAGACAGATCGTTAACTTTAAGTAACCCGCCTGATTTCTCAGATGTAATAGATCTAATTTAGTTTCTTTTGACAGGAACAATACTTCTAAATTACCATATGGAGTTGTTTATGCATGAAGGTTTTAGTTACAATGTTGAAATAAAATATTTACCAGAGAAAAGAGAACGTGCTTCGTTTTCAGTTCGTTAATTTTACCACCAAGTCCTTTAACCAAACTTCCCACTTCTTGAAATCGATCGCCTCTTCCTTTGTACTCTCACGAAAATTCGTGTCTTTCGTTGTTCTTCTGTGGCACAAAAGGTGCTTTAATAAGGCATTAAATTTAAGATGGGAAATAAGAAAGGTTTCAAACAGTTTTCAACCTACTAATAATCTTGCAATGCCCCAGTTACCGTTAACTATATTAGGATAAATATTGCAATATGTGATTGATAGATATTATAATTTACTAAATTATTCACCTTTTGCAAAGTTGTATGACATATATGCCCCGCACATTCACCGCTTTAGATGAGTCTGAAGAAAATTCACTAAATTTTGGAGATTTAAAATTTAGTCTTTAAAATGAATTAAGTGTAAGACACAGCTGATTTGTTTTTCTACTCCTACCTGTAAATATAGCTCACTAAATGAACCTAATACATAAAACATTGGTCCCAATAGCCCATCCTTGCGTTGAAACGTTCTACCAAAATGTTGTATTGAATCATATACACTCTTTTGTTTTACCTTCGTGATAAACAGTTGTCTCTTGTATTAGAACTATCATCAAAATAATGATTAATGTTTGTTTGTTTTCATGTTCGGTTTCTTATAATCGAACTGACGTGGCAATCACTGAATGGAAGACCAATGCAACTGGGATAAACTGGCAATCCAACGTGATTATTTATGTTCTGAAATTTCTAAGTTTATTTTTAAAATCGCATGCATGATGAAATGTAGTTATTTTTAAATTTTCTGATATATCTCTAAAACAAAAAATCACTGAGTGCAAGGGTTTGGTTTATTTGATTACGACAAAATACTTGAGAATCTGTCTGTTAAAAGGGAGGAATGCTTTCGCCCGAGTGCGATGGAAAAATATGGAAAACTATACATTGTTCTTAAATATAAAGATATAGATTACGTAGTAAACATAAAAGCGAGTTTTCAGTTATATTTATTTGTTGTACGTTGTAATGATTTGTAAACCCTACAATCGTCATAGTAAATTTTAACTAGAAATTGGGATATATGAAACTTTAGTAGCTAACCAAAGAAATGTTACTTGATATAGTAAGTTAAATTAAATAGAAGCTTTAAGAATTTTCACCCACCCTCACTTCTCATAGGATATTTGAAACTTATTGTTATTTAATTTCACTTTTTTAGCTTTCTGTAAAGCAGGTTCAAAATTTCTTACTATTTCACTATAGGGATTATTTTTC